AAAAAAACAAAAAATCGACGAACTAATTCGAACATCACGAGTTTTTTGCACAGGTACGGAGAGAAATGTACGTACGTACGTACACGTACTCGTTCTCACGAGTCCCATCGTAATTATTACGACTTACGATAGAAAGTAATTTTAGCGCGGAATGATCTATGGGACATCTGATGCGTATATGCAAGTGGAATAACATCGGCGCACGACGAGCGTTAAAGACAAAACTGGCAATTACACTGGCGGTTCGCCTAATCGTAAAACGAAATACATACTAAAAGAACGTAGTCGCCGACATTACCGTCGTCGTGATGTTGTAACTCGTCGTAAATCAACGGACATCTCGCCGAGTCAAAAGATTGTACGTAAAAGGAAAAGTACGTTCGACGTAATGTTAATAACAAATTTCAAAAAAGATATAATTTGCGATACAAGATACTACATTACAATTTAACATTAACACCATTGAAATGCCATTAAAATTGATCCATTTGATTTTCATCTAAATAAAAATATATAAATACATTATAATCATGTTCATAAATTATCATCGATTTCATTCATTCTCAATATATAAAATACATATATAAAGTATTATTATTATATTTATAATTATCTATCGATCACTTAGAAAAATGATTAAGAAAGAAAGATGGATCGTGACTAAAACAAATCCAACGTTATCTCCTCGATGACCAAACGAGAGACGATGTTTCCTCGGTACACATAGAGAGGTACACCGACAAAAGTCCATCCGGTTAAGAAGAAAAAGAAAGAAAGAAAGGAAGAAAGAAGAAAAGAAAACGAAAAGAAAAAAGAAAAAGAATGAAAGAAAAGAAATAAAAGATAAAGGGGAGTCAGGGTGGGTCGTTACGCGAACGATCACAGGTGTAGTTCGAGCGCAACCTGCAGTCTATAAACGCAGTGAGCCCCTTTAGAAGGAAGAAAAAGAAAAAGAAGAAGTCAAAGAAAAAGAAAGGTGAGAGAGAGAGAGAGAGAGAGAGAGAGAGAGAGAGAGAGAGAGAGAGTGAGTGAGTGAGTGAGTGAGTGAGTGAGTGAGTGAGAAGAAGAGGAAAGGAAAAGAAAGAGGAAGAAGAGGAAAACGAAATCTCGTGAGGGAGTGGGAGAAGAAAGAGAGAAGGAGAAAGAGAAAGAGAAAGAGAAAGAGGGAGTCAAGTGCTCCGCCCCAGGTAGATGGCAATATGGCCGCTGAAGGAATCGCAGGAGTTGAAGCAACGACGCCGACGTCGTCGTGACGCCCGCGTTTCACTCAAGCCACCTCAAGCTACCTACGTTTGCGGCTACGACACTCCTCCTACTCGTCGAGACGGTCGACGCCTACCCTCCCCTTCCCCTTTTTACACTCCCACCCGCACTCCCCACTACTCTTCAACAACCACCACACACCGCATACCGCGCGTACCAATCCACCAATACGAGATTCTAAACGGACTGACACGTGCACTGTGAGAGGGAATCAGTGTACAGAAAATCGAAATATGCGATAGTAACAGATCCCAATCGATCGAATAATACTTTGCTCCTTCGGAGAATTTTCATTTTCTTTTTCAATGAATATGAAATGTTAAATTTGTTAGTTATTTATTTTATTCTTGTTATTTATCATTCGTTAATTTAATATTTTCTGAATAATTTTTAATGCAGATTTCTTTCTTTCCTTTCTTTTTTTTTTTTTTTTTTTTTCTTTACTTTCATTCTCTTTTCCTTTCCTTTCCTTTCTCTTCGTCTCTTTTTAGTTCACACTTTATTATCCCATTTAGTTTCTACACGATTTTTATTTTAAATATTACATTATTTTTACTTCTATAGTGATATAAATAAATTGACAAAAAATAATAAAAATATAATCATTTATAAATGATTCACATAAAACACATAAACAATTGACAGAAAACATATGATCATTTATAAAAATTGATAGAAAACATATGATCGTTTTAATTAATGTTTTTTAACTATTTAGTTCCATCAAGATAGAAAGATGGCAGCACATTGTGGACATCAAATTATATGCCATCTACTAGTAAACAAAGAAACATTGTTGTTTTTTAATCATGTGAGGTAACGTCGGTAATCTCTGAGGTCGATAATTTGATTCTGTAAAGTTAAAGAATTACATTATTTGAAAAATGTAAACCCCTATATAAAATTATTACCTAAAGTCGGCAATTGTATATACTATTAAAGTATATTAAAAGTTCATTAATATATTTTAATCAATTAATTTCACGAATTAGCACATTACTTACAAACTGTGGTTTATGACTGAGTCAATTTTTCATTTATCCACGAAATATAATTAATCACATTGACGTATACACCTGGAATTCCATTAGTGGCACAACCAATACCCCATGTTACCATTCCAATAATCTGCCACTGATTACCTGACTGACACACCAATGGTGCACCTCCATCTCCCTATGAAATTATATATTATGTCTAATGATTTTAATTATTATGCAATAAAAGTACGTAAAAATTTAATTTTGAGTTCTCTACCGTGCACGCATCTTTTCCTGATTCTCCTCCTGCACATATAAAGCTATTTCTGTCGAGGGTAAAGAACTGTCCTACTTTAGTAGTACGAAGAGAAGTTTCACAATTATTTTGATTTACTATGGGTACATCAACTTCTTTGAGTGTATTCTGATAACTACCACTATTACCAAATGCATTCTTTCCCCAACCTGATACCCAACATCTTTAAAAATATTAATACATTAATATATTAGGAAATAATCAATTTCAATTTCATATACTTATTACCATCAAAACTTAATAAATATACCTTGTTGGTGCAGCTGGTACTGAAGTAGGAAGACATACAGTATTAATATTTGGACTACTTGCAATAGGTACAGACGAGCTTAATCTAATAACTGCTATATCATTCTGAAGATTCTTTGAGTCATAAGATTGATGTACAAATATTTTTTGTGCATTGTATTCTCTATAAGGATAAGTTTCTGAAGAACTTTGTCCATTCCATTCACCTAATCTTACTTTAAGACCCCCAGTCCTATGAGAAATACACAAAGTATTTATGTTTTTGATGCAAAAACAAATGTAATGTCACACTTACAAGTAAGGAGTTACTTTATGTGCCACAGTAAGAACATGATTGGCATTAATAAGAGCTCCTGATCCAATATATGAATTACTTGATGTTAAAAGTGCTGCTTGCCAAGGATATTCTCCGTAACTAGCAACTCCTTCTGGTTGAGCAGTAAGAGTTATTTTTCTTATTCCACAACTAGTATCAATTATATTTCCTGATGTACAACAATATATTAAGCCTGCTGAACAAGTTACACCCTGTACAATGAAATAAACATAATAATAAAGCTAAGAAAAAAAAAAATATATATATATATGTATGTATAAAGATATGCTGTATAATAAATTACATGAAATGAATATATTCGTACCGTGTTTACAATTCTTATATCAATACCATTACTACCACCAACATCACAAGTGCCTGCAGGTACACATCTACATCCTGCAGATGTAGTACTAGCTAAAATATTAATCAGAATACGATTATGCATTGATTCGAAATAATTCTACGAGTTAATTGTTAAGCATTAATAATTAAAATTAATTTAAGCAATTGATACATACTTGGTGCTAAAGTATTAGCAGTCGTAGTACCATCAAAAACAATTGTATTAGTTTGTGCTTTAGCATATTTTTGTATAAAGCACATAATCGTTAATATATAAAAAAAGTTATACATTTTGCAGATAGGGAAAAGAAATAAACTGCGTCGCTACTTATCGATACAACGAACGATAGAAAAACTAACTTTTGCGCTCCCATTCAGATTTATATATACAATGTATTATACGCATTATGCACCCTATATTCATATTTTCTTTTGTTATCATTTTGAAAAAAATACATTAAATGAAATACCCAAGCGTGTCAAAAGTCTCTAACGAGAGTTTTTTCCTCATAACAATGAGTACATACTATTTATAAAGTGTGACATTACAATCCTATAAATAAATTACTTCCTTTTACAATTATATTCATCATTGTCATCTGCTACACTTATGCATAATAATAATAGTTATAGATCATCATCTATTGCAGAATTTCCTGAACAGATTATTACTAATGAGAGATCTGTGAATACATGTTGTTACGTTAATCATATTTCATTAGAAATTAAAGCGAGGTCAATAATCTGGTATTTCCAACGAAGATGACTCATTTGTGATTTTATTACAGCATTATTACTTCAGATTTATGATTTGATAAATACAAAATACGTGTTCGCAAATTTGCAATTCCAAAAATAATATTTATACATGTAATTTCCTAAAGATGTATATATATATATATATATATATATATATATATATATATATATATATATGTATGTATATATGTATGTGTGCATGCGTACATGGTGTGCTCATCGAATAAATTTAAATCTTTTTTGATAGAATTTTAATTTATTATTATACATTTATTCAGGAGAATTTCATCAATGAGTTACGAAATATCTAGAAAATAATTAATCAATGGGAAAGATCCTAAAGAATAATTTGTCAATGAATCACGGCATGTCTACAATGTAGTTAATCAATGTACGAATTTTAATCATTGACTAACTATTTCGTAGAATTATTTTCATCTTGGCTTATTATTTTGATTAATTTTAAATAATAATAATAATAATAATAATGATAAAAAAAGTCAAATAAAAATATGTAGACATAAATATTATTTCACAACGATGATCTCAATTTAATTATATCATATGATAGACATTAGCCTAAATAAAAGTTTAATAGTTAATTAATTAGATTGATAATTAAATATTGACCTACATAGTATTGATCTACTGTATAAGAAGAAATATAGAAATATATTTTGCTAATAGTCACAGTAAATGTCACATAATAATTAATATATGTCCTTTACATGAAAAAAAAAAAATAAGAAAAATTATATTATAGTATATATTATACTAAAAATAATATTATCTTTGGCTATTATTTTAAGTTATATTTATATACTATGTAAAATGAAGTTATGTGTATTTCCTTTTTATATTAGATTTCCCAAGTTTTTTATAACGAGCATGATTCATATGCGACATCATTGTGTAAATACCAGGTATACATAATAATAATAAATAAATTCGCAAGAAAGTCGGAAAATGAAGAGAAAAATTGAACGAATTTGGTAACGATATGGTAAAACGTTGTGTTTCTTCAAAATATGGAATGTTACGCAAAATTATAATACCTTCGCATATTATACCTAATGGAAACAATGGTATCCATACTGTATACCTTAACCACATTAAGAAATAAATATCTACATTCAATAATTGTGTAATATAATATAAATATCTGATTACTTCTACTGCGCTCCATACAATAAAGAGATAAAACACAACTGGTTTAGTTTGCATACGTGATTCTCCTTCTATCATGCAAAATAATACAAATGATCTGGCTCCTATTTGTAAGAGAGGTATCATTATGCTACCTTTGGTATAACCAAATAAAGGATGCATAACTTCTAAAAATTGTAGCAACTGTATAAATTTCATTGGATTTCCAACAGTAGCGTACGTATGTTTCATAGAAGCTGCAATTAATAATATAGTTATGATTGAGATTTGGAAAGAATATTATGTCTAAAGATTGATACGATATAGTAATTGCTAACCTGGTCCATCACGAGAATATTTCACGCCCATAACGACAAGAATATAAAGAAATCCGACAAATTGACATAAGTTGTAGATGATTAAGTATACCTTCTTAAAATCCTCTGTTATATAAAAATTATTCAAATTAATATAATGTATTAGGATAAGTATTGATATTAATTTCTACATAATATTTCTACCTTTCCTATATCCAAGTTCTTCTTTATGTAATTTATCATACATATCAGGATAATCGGTAGAAACATCTCGCTTCTCATACTCATTATCATCCATATCTTCACTTTTCCATTTATCAAAATCTATTTTAAGCCATGGTGGTTTTTGTGGTTGACTAGTCAATCGTGGCCACCATCCACAACATTGTTTTTTCAATGTAAAATCTATCTGACGATCAATCACTTTGTAATTGCTTTCCTACAAGGTACAATCATTATACATATAAAGGATTATAACTTATAAAATATCATCAATTATGATTGCATCTTATAGTTAAACATACATCAGGATTAACAAGTTCATGAAAGTTAATACTAAATCCATAATTATTGCACCCTCTTGCACCTTGACCGTATGCACTTATTTGCAACTTCTTTTCTTGCAAATTAATATTAATATCCTATAAAACATATTAATAATGTTAATAATTATTACTAAAATATATATATATATATATGAACTTTTATATTGACAATGACTTGTATACCTTGACGTCAGCCAAATCGACTTTTAATGTAATCTGATTCTCAGTTTGAGCCCAATATACGAATGGATTGTATGTTTCTGTCATTTTGACATTTTCTTATAACAGCAAAATTATAATTTTTTAATTCAAAAACAAAAAAAAAAGGAGCGTAACAAATTTTACTAATTACTTGATAACGCTAAGTATAAAACTCAAAGTAAATTATATTTGTCGATTCATACATGTACTCTCGTTGTACATAAAGTTTTTCTAATGAAAGTTGGTACTTCTGTTTTCTGTGATTTCAACGACAAGTATGGGGAAAATATGAACTATGAGACTATATAGATTGAGAAAAATTGTTGTGTGCAGTAAAAAGAATAATAACATCTAACAAAAGCAAAATGAAAATGATATAACAAGTTATATTACTTTAAGAGAAAATAATTGAAAAGTGTTAGTTAATTGTACAAACTTTTTATATTATTTTTGTTTCTTTTTTAGTTACTTATATAAATATCCAAAAGTGTATTTAAACGTATATTACCACGATATATATATTATTTGCGATCAAATAAATAAATAAATAAATAAGAGATAAAAAATAATATATAAAAGATAATAGAAATATTATAAAAGTGGAAAGAAAATTACTGATGCATGTCTTGAATTCTGAAATTTATTAGAATAATGGCGTTACAATAGACGCGTTAATACAATAGATAATATAGTGTTTAACCTATAAAAAAAAAAAAAAAATAAATAGTAAGTATAAAAACAAATAAGAAACAATGAGAGTAATAAAGAAATTAGAATTTTTTCAGTGCATAAATGCTGTTTTCGACAAAAAAGTTTTGTATTGTGGCTCTCCTAGAAATTGGCGACAAAAAAGAAGAAATTCGTACCTTCACTACTGATTTCCATATTATGCTAAAATTGGATATGTTTGTCGCGTGAAGTAGCGATAATTTGCTTGTTTGTTACGTAAATAGGTAATGCCTAGATTTCATAAGAACATATTTAATTTTGTATTTTCTTGATGAAAGGTCAAATTAAAATACCAATTTAATCATCGAATGACTATTAGTCGTTAATATTTTTTATTCATTTATCAATTAAAAACAACATTGATTATATTTATTAAAGCTTCAAATCGCGGTAACAGAATGTTTACAAAATTATCTTTATTACAATACATTTATAAATTTAGTCATATTTTTAACATATAATAAAATAAGAAAATAGGAAATGTCTAATAAATAATACAGGTCATTTTATTTATATATCTTTGTTTTTTTTTTGTTTTCAATATATATTCGATCGATCAGCTAAGAAAAAGCGATAGTTTGCAGTATAAGAAGTACAAAGGGATTATGAATCAGTGAAAATTATTAATGACGGTATAGTAATGTTTGCCTCTTTATCATCTTTGCATCATTGTATGACGATTAAATATAAATAAATTGAAATCAATCGCGATAGCACAAGCATGGACGATTACAATGGTACTGTTTACAATGCAACGATTTAATCTCGGCGAATTTTTTACACTACGCGTTATTAAAATGTATCAACAAAGTGTGCTTCAAAAGATGGTATTGAAGCACATAGCATTGCGACATTATGAGCGAAGATCTTTTTCAGATTATAGAATGATTGAAAATTTTCATATCATAGAATGATCGAAAATTTTCAGATCAGATCATTAGAAATCGATCTATAATTGCTCTTACGAATGTAAAAAGATCTTTAGAAAGCAACGACGTTGTTAAATTTTTGCTGCAAACTATCCTTGCGAAAATAGCACAATTCACGCGCACACGCACACACACATATATATATATACATACATAAATTTTATATATATGTATTTATATATATATTTATATATATATATATTTATACATATATATAATATATATATTTATACATATATATAATATATTTCTCTCTTGAAATTTTTTTGCCATCCTCGCTTGAGTCCAATGGACGTTATTTCCAATAGATTTCTATCTAAGAAATGCCGAGTATTCGGCTACACGAATTTACAAATTCGTATTCCACATCTTAAGAATAAAAACTTAAGAATCGAAATTTGTAATCGATCAATATTTGCAAAGTCTAATGATCCTCGTGTTCCTAGATTCTTCAACTATATAAAATATATTTCATCAATACATCTCGCCAACTCCGATCGAAATCCAATTATTCGAACTTTCAATCTCAATTACACAATCTTATTGGATACTTGTATTATTAAATATTTTCGGCTGTAAAAATAATATTATCATAAAAGTTTAAAAAACCATTCGCTAAAAAGCACACTTCGAACGTTCTGAATATTACTTCGATTATATATATATATATTACATATATTTTATATCATATATATATATATATATATGTACTTTCGAACAACATTATTTCATTCAACAAACGATTAACAATCACAGTTTTCATTGACGAAAAATCAATGTTTGTTCTTTTATTATGAAAATCTACGAAGTAATTTCTAAGTGATTGAAAAGATATCTAGGCATATGATTATTGATTTAACTTAACATATATGTCTTGAATCTTTTTTTTTTTTTTCAGGCCGAACGTTCATAGGCAAGCAGTAGGCGAATGTTTTTTGATCCACGCAAAATAAATAATGTTTATCTTACGTGAACTCATTATTTGTGGGTCACCCGGTGTCTCCGTATTTTTTTTTTTTTTTATATGCATTTAAAACATGTATAAAGCTTTCGATAGGTGTCGCGCAGAGATGTGGTGTACATTAATTGTCATTTATCACATTATGGTATTACAGAAGAGAATAATGGTAAAGCAGAGACCTGATACGTCATTATCGTCGGTATTATCACATTTACGGTAATAGACGAAGAGTGGTAAAGCAGAGATCGATTTAACTGATCGTCGATAATTATTGCGCAACACGGCCGCAATAACTAGTTAATTCCTGAATCGAGCATGGTTTCACGCAGCACTCATCATAAACGCCTCTAGATTCTCTTCGAAAGCGTGTACCGGCAAAACGACCCATCATTGCATTCGCTGTAACTGCCGATCTAAATGGATATGATTCGTCATAAGCAAACGGATAATCGTCCATTTCCATTTCTGAAAATAACGCAATAACGATATATTTTATTAGATTTTTTTTTCCTTTAAAAATTACATTTGTGAAATAATGCGCTCGTCGAATATAGATAATGAATAAAATTATTGCAACTTCGATTAAAAATGATGATTAGAATAAATGCACTTTACGCAATTAATCTTGGATCAAATTACATAAGTTTCATATTATTTTTCATTAATTTGATTCATTAAAAAGAAACATAGAAACGTACTAAGATACCTAACGATATGAAATACAAGGTATATATTAAAAGATATAGTATATACATATTCATATATACAATGTTACCGTAACTTACCCTGCCCGTTCTTTTTGAACATAGAATTGTAGACGCCGTCGCAGAGCAATCCAAGTGCATTCGATAGATTTTTCCCGCAATACTTATGCAGCGTCTGCGACTGTCGCTTATCTTGGAAAGAATATTGAGAATTTCCGAATTGTATTAAGAAAGCCGCTACGACGAGCACCAAAGCCAGAAAGGCGTTGTTGAATCGATATGTAGACATCTGTAAACAAAGTTGAAGAGACGCGTTTTTTTTTTGTTTTTTTCTTTTTGTATTTTTTTTTGTTTCTTTTTTTTGTTTTTTTTTGTTTTGTTTTTGTTTTTTTTTTTTTATTTTTTTTTTATTTTATATATATATATATAAGAAAAAATGTAAATTTAGTCTGTAGGTCATCTTACTGAATATATCTTTATCAACGTGCACTTTGCTTCGACTTATTAATTCGACTAAATTTGCAAACAAATAATACATTGACACAATTATATTAATCTTTTCTTTTTGTCTCCGATTCATTTAAACTAGATAAAAAGAAAAATTATCATAATAAGAGTTGGTTTTAACACTGATGTAGGACGTCGATTAGTTTCGAAGATTAATCGAGTTAGATTTTGCAATCATTAAGGTAGTAGACAAATCGCGGCTATCGTTAAGACGTACGACTAGACATTCCAACATTGTGAACATCGCATAACGTGGAATGAGGATAGTGGTCTGCTTGTTTATATTTTAGCTCCGAGTCATTGAATCTCCAAGATAATTATACTGTTGTTTTGATATGCGAAAATAGGGCCGTTATCCACGAGACGCATTCTGGCGCCACGTTGACTGCAATTCTATCCGTTGATTTCAGAAAAGCTGAACGAATATACACCGATTTTTTTCTTTAGAAAAAGAGAGATAGAAAGAGAAAGAGAGCGAGCGAGAAAGAGAGATCTAATGGAAACAAATTTTTATTAAGAAATCTTCAAGGAAAAACAATTGCTCTGTAAACATTATATAGATGCTCATTGATAAATCATAACTTTTCCATTCATATAAAGAACACGGAACTCAAAGCTGATATCAATTTCATTTTGTCGAATTATATAGTTCTTTTAATGTAACAATAGAATTAAAAAATCGTATTAGATTTTTGGGAAAAAAAAATCTCGAAATCGAAAGTCGATCATTAAAACTTCATGGAATTACTGATTTGGATTCGTAATATTACTTGGTAGACGCGTGCCAGACGCGATGCTAGCAAACAGTGACTTTACCACTTACATCAAAACAAGTAACATAAATAATCTAGGTACGATGATACTGACCAGAATTAGCGAATCTAATAAAATTCATCAATGTCTAATAATATATCGACGTTTGTGAGAGTACATCAAAGACGATAACAACTTTCTCTCTCTCTCTCTCTCTCTCTCTTTCTCGAGGAAGTTATGCAAGGAATCAGGTTTGTCTCTTCTTTCTTTTCCTTTCTTTTTATTCCTTCTTTTTTCTCTTTTAAGAGTATCGTAAAGTACATCGAGACGAATTCAATGACCTACGATAAAGTTGCCGTACTCGTGAGTCAACATCGTTATACGAAGACGCGACGTGCTATTTCTCGTCGAACTTCAACTTCTAATATCTCCCAATTAAATGAAATGACGTTGTTCTCGTTCTTGTTGTCGTTGTCATTGTCATTGTCATTGTCGTTGTCGTTGTCGTTGTCGTTGTCGTCGTTGTTGCGCCTGGCTTATCTCGCATTCGCGAAAAGAATCGCGGTTGCTTTTTTATTTACGAAAGGTCAAGATTAACTCCAATATGAATCTGATAAAGTAACATGTACAAGAGAAGCACGAAATAATGTCAATTTATTGATGGCAAAAAGGACCGATAAAAATGATACGTTGATTAATCACAACAAGAAATAGGTATACGTTATTTCATCGAATGCGTATACATTAAAAATAATTACATCGTATCTTAATTTGTCGCTAAAAACGGAACACTCCTAAATACGCACTCCTCGTTTAAAAAAATACTCCTCGTTTAAATAACCCGTTCATTGGCTTTCCGTATTGCGACGATTGTAAGGAAAGGACTGTAAGGAGAGGCACACGCTCTCCTCGATAACGGAATGCCCGCAAATTGAAAAGAGGACTCATCCCAGACTATGACCTATTGTTGCACGCATTAATTTCTCTCTTTCTCTCTCTCTCTCTTTTTTTCTCTTTCGTTATTATCTGAAGCGCCACTGGCTGAGACAAGTAATAAATACGTGCATATAACAGTTGGAAAGATACTATACGAATGCAGTTATAGTCACCGAGAGGGAATGCACTCATCTTCGACGAACGCAGTCACAGTGGGGTGATCGACTTTTCCGATTAAAAGTGTTGCCACTTTGCTCGGGAATCTGAAAACTTCGTTTAAATTCTTTACGAGAAAGAGAGAGAGAGAGAAAGAGAGAGAGAGAGAGAGAGAGAGAGAGAGAGAGAGAGAGAGAGGGAGAGAAGAGACAAATATTTATTTCATTTTTAAACATTTTTCTACTATTTCTATCATTTCTATCATTTTTCACGATCTCACGCGATGTACAGTTAATCACATTTTCATTTATTTTTATTCCTTTTTTTCACTTGACATAACAAAAAGTGTAATATAAAAAAATGATCGTCCAGATTTTATCGACGATCACGAAAGATGTACTTCGTAAACGACATGGAATGACACATAGTCAGCATTCCCATCGGTTCTTCACGAGATATACAACATTTCAGATATAATAACTTCGTCTTTATAACGAAGAAGAAGATAATTATTCTTTTTTTTATTTCCTTCTCCTACTTTACAACGTACTTTAGATGATTTCTAATCTAATCTCTTTCTATTTTTCCTTTTTCCCTACTTCTTATACTCTCTCGCTCTCTCTCTTTCTCTCCCTCCCCTCTCTCTCTCTGTCTGTCTTTTTTCTAATTCAAAACGAAACTTTACGACATTTAAGTTTACATAATGATCAAACGACAAATTCAAATTCCAAAAGCACAAATTTCTCCTGTCTTTTGTCCTAATTCAAAACAAATCTTAAGAACTCTTAATGTTTACAAATACAAACGTCCAATTTAAATTTGTAAAGACGAATGTATCCTGTCTTGAATGTCAACTAATATGTACCTTCTTCTCGGTACTTCTCCCACACGAACCACTCTCTCGCGTATGTATTTTTCCAGGTCTGCTTTAGAAAATTGCAGGATCAACGGCCAGTCGATTACCGTGAATCTCTCCTCGATATAAGAGTCATTCTCGAAGGCACCCCTAAACGACTTAACACGCGATTTCTTCCCGGTGACATAAGTAAAGATCACAAATTTAGCTTTCCTTTTGCACTCGTTATAACACCGATCTCTATCGATTCTTCGATCCAATGTGAAACATTCTTCTTTAAAAGACAATAATTTCGATATCTTATATACGATATACATATACATATATATCTACACCGGCATAGGTGCATATATCGATATAAATATCAATAATATTAAAACAAACACAATTTCGCACACGACTTCGATCCTTTTCTTGATTCTTACTCAAGAGACGGTCGAGGAAACGCGTCTGAACCGTCCGAGCGCCAACGAACAACTCATCGCTCGAAGAGAAACGTGATAGGGCGAAAGACTCGTTTGTTTATATTGTTATTATATCAAAAGATCTACGAACGTTTCAAAGGTATTATATAACAATATAAGGTAAAAGTGAAAATATAATAACATAAATATTGTAATTTTATTATTTGAAATGATTATTTCTATTATGAATCTTTCCTTCTAGCATGATATTAAACGTTTAAATCATAAGTAACATTGTCCATTGTTTCTTACATGATCTATATACTCTATATAGATTAAATAAAATTTAAATATAATATATATATATATATATATATATATATATATATATACATATATAAGTAACGGTCTTTTCATAATTTGAAACCGAAAAATGATAGATTAATGAAAATTATTCAACTTATGGTCGTTGAATAAACTTGAAAGAAAATAAAAAACTTTGGAAATTCCAAAGAGATCGAAATACTCACCGTACAGATAGATGGTGGTTATCCTTAGCTGATGAGAGCGTACGTATTATGACGACCTATAAGAGGGCAACCTCCCTTATAAACGCTCTGATCATCGGTGAAAGAATTGAACAACATAGACATGTTCATTACGTTACGAAAGCACCTGTCAGCTTGTCTTAGTTGAACACCACCAATAACGTCGCGTTCATAAGGAAGATCAACCAACCGTACATCGTTCCAATTTTACCCTCAATGGCGTTTTGCTAAAATTCTGGAATTATTTACTTCCGCTAGATACCTTTCACTTTTATTTATACGTCGAAGAACGTAAACAGACAGGCAATCGATTAGTTATCGAGTGATCTTAAGCTATTTTCCTCTTTTTTTAGTATAATTAACTCCTCTCAGACAAGCAAGAATTCTCGGTGAACCATAAAATATTTGCCTTTAATGTTTGACCTTTTATCTTTATTTTATATATTCTTTTTATTTTTTGTTCAAAGTAAGAATCATATATATATATATATATATATATACACGGTAAATTATCGTTTGAGTACATTTATAAATGTTTCTCGTGGCAAGGAAATATTTCCGATCATGCGCATTTTGATCTTTCCCTGTTTTTGTTTTGCCAATAATTTCATCCTTCTGGTAACATCACCTCCATACTAAAAAAGTATATATATATATATATATATATATATATATATATATATATATATACATACACATACATAGTTTTTTTTTATACAATTTACATTTAATTTATTTTTCTTTATAGCAAATGAAATATAGCTACATGTGATTTTTTACCAATTTTGCAGTAACGTCCTTTCTATATGCTTTCAAATTCTCCCTTGCAAGTATCTTACTTCCAACTGTTGCTTGAATTGATATTTCAAATAATTGTCGTGGAATAATATCCAAAAGTTTACTACACATTCTTTTCCCCACTTCTCTTGCTTTAGTGCAGTGTACAATTGTACTTAATTCTTCTACAATATTACTATTTAAGAGAATATTTAACTGTAAGAAAAAAAGGTAACACCAATTATTGAATGTGAATATATTAAATTAAAGATTGTGCCTTTTACCTTCACAATTTCAGAAGGATGATATCCATTATCTTCATAATCAAAGCTAGCATATCCAGAAGTAATGGTTTTCAATGTATCGTGAAAATCAAGGACCACTTCGTTTAATGGCATTAAAAATTTTAATAATGTTCTATTATTTCCAATAGTTTGGGAATATTGTTCAACCCCACGTTTTTCAAGACACAATGAAATTACCGGTCCTATATACTTATCTATTTTAACATATATGTATTAATATATACCAATAATAGTAGACATTAAATTACGATTAATTATTATATTGTTATTTAGAAAAAGATATACCTGGTGTTATAATAGTACCAATGATCATTGGCTCATAATATTCTACAGTAATTTGTTTGTCAGGATAATCAACAGGATTATTGAAGGCAATCATATCTCCTTTATATCGTACTATATTTTTATGTCCTTTAACTTTGGCTTTATATGTAACACCAGGTGCTGTAACTATTGGTTCTGTACCATATTCCTGTTCCAACCTCTGTATAAATACTTCCATGTGCAAAAGTCCTAAAAATCCAGCTCGCCAGCCACGTCCAAGTGCAGCACTAAAACAATATTATTATTAATTAATAATTTATGTATACAATTTATATTTTTCAATTATGAAAATAATCAATACCTAGAACTTGGTACAACTTCAACAGCACTATCATTTAAAATAAGTTTATCAATCGCATTTTGTAATGTAAAAAAGTGTGATTGATCTATAGGATACACTCCAGCAAATACCATTGGTTTTATTGCTGTAAATCCACCTAATGATTCTACAGGGTGACCTTTTCTATATAAAGTATCCCCAATATGTGCTTCTTTAGAAGATCTCATATTACATTTTATACTTCCAACTTCTCCTGCGAATCTGCAATATATTTTAATTATAATTATAAGTATATATTTTAATTATAATTATATGTAATATATTTAAGCATACAAAAAATACACATATATAAAATCCTATACTCACAAAGTTTTAACAAGTTCTTCCTCAGGTCTTAAAAGTGCTAATTCTTTAATTTCATAAGATTTTTTGTTAGTAAAGGATGTAATATGTTCACCAACAGATAAAGTTCCATCCTTCACATATATTAAGGAAACAGCTCCTTTATATTTGTCATACCAGCTATCAAATATTAAACCACGAAATGGTAAATTCCTATCTACAAGTGGAGGTGGAAGCCTTTTGAGTACAGCTTGTAATAATTCATCAACACCCGTTCCTAATTTAGCAGATATTTTTAATATATCTTTTTCATTTATATCAAATAATGTTTTTAACTGATTCTTTACTCTTTCTGGATCTGCAGTTGGCAAATCTATTTTATTTATTACTGGTATTACTACAAGTTCTCTTTTAATAGCTAAATAAAAATTTGCAACAGTTTGCGCTTGTACTCCATCATTTGCATCCACTAATAATATGACACCTTGACAAGCTGATAATGAACGATATACCTCGGATGAGAAATCTACATGACCTGGAGTATCTATCAAATTTAAAAGATAATTTTGTCCTTCATATGAATACGTAAGGGAAGCTGTTTGAGCTTTAACCGTAATTCCACGTTCCTTTTCTACTTGCAATGTATCTAATACTTGTTTTCCTGAATTCCTCTTTATAGCACCAGTAATTTCTAGAAGTCTATCAGCAAGGGTACTTTTACCATGATCAACATGGGCTATTATACTAAAATTTCGGATATTTTCAATAGGTATTTCATAAATTTTTTTAACATTCTCATTTGTACTGTATGTTTGTTTTTGCATATATAGACATTTCCTAAAAGAGTATATTATCATAAGTAACAAAGTCTCATAGTTTAAATAAATCAATAATATTTTTCTCAATTTATTTATATATAATAGATCAAATATTATTAATAATAAAGAACACATAATCAACTTTACTTTATAACCTATACTTACGTTCCATGTTTTATTTTATATGTATTATTGAAAACATAATTAATTTGTATCCTATTTAAACGTTTTACAAGATTACGGAATACCATTATATAATAAAAAATAAATATACATATATATATATGATATATATATATTTGTATTATTCAATTTAAATTACTATCAGATTCCATAGTACGAAAAGTCTATGTTAACATTATTCTAATAGGTTAAGGAACATTTTTTTCTCTATTATTCATTTAATAAAATCTTGTGTTTTAATTAAAAAGAAAACTTTTTCTTAAAAGGAAATATAATTCTTTGTTTATAATATTAATATTTATATAATTTGAATTAATTTATTGTAATCTGATTATTACTAATCTAACAATTTAAATGAACTTGTATTGTTTGTATTTATACTATGTGTATTCGTTATTTTTCATTGCTATTATTATTTTGTTAATTTTTATTTTTTGTTTAGCACTATAACTCTATTTATGTTCCATAAACTCTACAAATATTTTAACATTTGCCTTATATTGTGTAACTCTATACAACTTCATGCAATTTTTATATCGTTTGTAGTCGCATCATTTTTAATATAAAATGCAAAATGTACGGCTCAATAGAGTTGCATTATACAAAATATATAAATGCGAAGGCGTATATGTATGTATGTATGTATAACGTATGTATGATGTTATGTGTAATGGTGTATGTATATATATATATATATATATATATATATATATATATAAAACTTAGAAAATGATAAAGAAATTATTTAACAGTTTTAAATTAGAGCGCGCATAAATGTGATTCCATATTTCACCACAATGTGGCGTTGTCAGCGGCGCGAAGCTCGGATCGATCGTATTAGAGCGATACATTTTTTTAAATAGATTAAGAGCTGTAGTCCTGTAATACGATATATACTTTAATTATTTTGGTATGTGTATTATCTAGAAGTGTCTGATTTAGTATTAGAAAATTAAACAATTGTCAATTGATTTTACTGAAGAGTTATATACCAAGTTCGAGGTCGTACTCTTTTCTTTTTACCGCGTATACTTTAGATCGCCTAACGATTAGCGCTGCTCTGCAGCGACGTTGCCAGATCGTAATAGTCTCTTTCATTTGCGTGTGTATGACGCGCGTGCGGACAAATGATACTCAATATTCGCGCTTTATTTACTGTTCATTTGTGAAATCAACGAACACGTGTTCGAAAGAAAGTTAGAAGAATCAATCTACTTCCTTTATAATACCAACAATTATATTCGTAAGTCTTTAACGATCCGTTTATACGCAATAATGACTTGCATTACAAAGGCACAGAATTCGGTCGGCAATATTGATGACATTGGAAAAAATTAATTTTAATGAAATGTAAAAATAGAATATTCATATAGATAGTAAGCGCATTACCTTAGGGAAGAATAATCAATATATTTATTCAGTAAATGCAAATAATATAGACCCAAAAGTTGGAACGCTATTGAATATTGTAAATCAAATTCGTGCCACCTCCAAAA